TGATCTCAAGGCCACTTTTGTCCAATTGAGTGAGCTACACTGTGATATGCTACAGGTAGATCCTGAGACCTTCAGGGTGAATCCAGGAGATGCTCACAACCTCTTGCTTTGAACCTTGTGACAGCTCAGACAATTGAGCACCGATCTGACTGCAGCCAAGGATGGCTGTGGGAAGGGGCATATTGGAAACATTGGCATTGAGGGGACAGAACTAAAACCAAAGGGCCTAAGGAGTGCTTCTCAAAATCTGGAGGGACTTCTTTGAACTCTTATTGGCTTTTAGAAGAGACTTATACAGAGGTGAGGAAAAGCGACTATGGGTAAGTGCAATGGTCTGGAAAGAACTTGAACTTTACTTTTTATGTTTCATTTTTCCCTCCTGGAGGCAGAAAAAAACAAGGCCAAGGAGAAATAACTATGCAGGCTTATGTTGGCTCCATATAAAGAAGGAACCTAGGGTTCACGAATATATTGTTAAGGTTATTCATATATTGGCTGGATATTTGTACAAAATTGTTCCAGAGACCCGTTTCAACCTTACATCCTACAAATCCTGAAATGGGGCAGAGTGTCCCTGAGGGAGGGAAATGGCAAGAACATGGGGCTTGGAGTGCGTATGGAAAGAAAGCTGTGAATTTTTGTTTTTCAGCCCACAAAACACGAGGTTGGTGGTGGTGAGAAGAAAGAAAAAGTGAAATCATGGTCACGTATTAGTCTTGTAGGGAGAACACACTTGTATTTAGTGACCGAGCAAGATGCCAGGCATGAGGGAAATTGACATCGGCGTGGTTCTGAATGGGAGTTGGGTGGCCAGGTACCTGGAGGCCCACCTGGGACTCTGTTCATTGTATGCATTTATTACCTCTTGCCGCCTCCACAGCTCCTGGGAAACATGCTTGTGACTGTTTTGCCAGACCATTTTGGCGAGGAATTCACCCTCCAGGTGCAGGCTGCCTGTCAGAAGATGGTGACTAGAGTGGCTAACGCCCTGGTCCACAGAGATCCAGTAGTGTAGAGTCACCAGGAACAGCTTTATTTTCAAACAATAGCAATGGCAATGGTAGTGTTAATAACAGTAGTAATAATAATAATGGTAATAATAGTGCTCTGCTAAAGAATTCTTCAGTAATTGTCTTCAGTTCTACTTTTCCGATTGCTGTTAAACTTGTGAGAACCCCAGGAATTATATGTTGAACTGTAAGTGTGAGTGTGTGTATGTGTGTGTGTGTGTATGTGTGTGAGTGCACAATTTCCCCATTCAATTTTTGTATGAAGTAAAGATTTTGGCAAGAAAATAAAATAAAAAAACAAAACAGGGCAACGAAAGGAATGTATGCCTGGGACATACACCTGGGGAGAACATACACTTGGGGGCTCTTCAGGTTAAAGCTGAAGACATGCGGAGGGACTCTGATGAAAGAGGATTGGTGTCATGGGACAAGAACTACTCTGAACCAGACAATTATATGGGCCTGAGTGAAGACTCCAGTGAAGACCAAGGATCTGGATGGCCGTCGAGTTTCAGTGTGGGGATTCTTCGTTGGAAAATTAACCCAGATCTTAAAAGGTCAAGGTCCAGGCAAGGACTGTAATTCCATTCTCCTGATAAGAAAGAAGTGTTTTCTAAAAGCAGCTGGTTTCTCACAAGCCCTTGTGAGGATAGATTAGGGATGGGAGGGGTTGGAAGTCTGAACAGCAGATGACTCTTTGAAATCAACTCCAAAGAACTGGCCTTGGGCTTTATGGAAGAACTTTGTGGTTTAAGTGGTCAGAGCTACAGAGGAATGGTACATTGCTTACATGCCATCAGGAGAGACCATGTCCCTGGGGCAGATTTGCTGCAATGTTTCAGAGAAGGGACAGCCCTCTGACGTGCTCAGAGAGGAGGGGATTTAGGTGGGGAAGAGGCTGAGAAGGCAGCTCAGTGCAGCACATGAGCTCTACTAAATCAAGAGGAAAAGGAAAGGAATTGCATAGAGCAGTTGGGGAGGATAGATCACAGGAATTTTTGTTGGGCTGGAAGTTAATTCAGGGTTATAAGCAAGGCTGTAATGTAATAAACAGGACAGTTAGAAGATTAGCCCTGCTGTGGGTGCTGAGTAGATTAGCGATCATAGTAATGCCACTTTTACAAATCTCTACTGGTTTCCCATGCCTTAGGGTAAAATACCCGCTCTACCCTCATGTGGCCTGGCCAATCTCTCCAACTCTGCTCCCTCCCACTCTTAACATCTCTCTCACAGACCTTATAATGCCTTTCTCTAAAGGAAATGTCAAGTTTGTTTTTTCTTTCTTTCTTTTTCCTTTTCTCTCCAGCCCCTGAGTTTTGCACCTGCCCTTGCCTGCTTCTGGGAACTCGTTTTGCCAAACGACTTATGCCTGGCTCCATCTTGTCATTAAAGTCCCTCTTCAAATGTAACTTCCTTTAGGACCTCTATCCTTATATTATGTTTCTCTAGTCGCTTGCTACTATGTCGTCAGATGCATTTTTTTTCTTGTCATATAACACCCATCTGAAATTCTCTTCTTCATTGATTTAATTATTAGTGTCAGTCTCCTCTGCCCCCTAGAATGTGAGCTTGATGACACTATATACACTGTTTTGTTTTTCCAAGATTCCCAGTTTTTAGAATGATGGATGGCATGATTGGCTTCAGTAGATATTTGCTTTTTATTTTTTTTACTTTTTTATTTTTAGATTTTATTTATTTATTTGAGAGGGGGAGAGAGAAAGAGAGAGCATGAGCCCGGGAGGAGGGGCAGCGGAAGAGGGAGAAGCAGGCTTCCTGCAGAGCAGGGAGCCCGACACGGGGCTCCATCCCAGGACCCGGAGATCATGACCTGAGCTGAAGGCAGACACTCAATTGACTGAGCCACCCAGGTGCCCCGATATTTTAAATATGTGATGAATGACTGTAAAACTGTTAGATGACCATGACGATGAGCTAACACTGATGTGATAAGCTTCCAGAAAACAGTGGGAACAGTGAGCATGGAAGTCAAGTGAAAGTGTGGAACAGCCATGAAGGAGAGAAATCAAAAAGTCTTGGGAAGTAATTGTCTAGATAAGATGAGAGAAAAGCAGGAGTTAGAGGTAATTGCCAGAATCACCATCTGGTTTGCTGGGAAGATGGGAGGCTGTTTGCCAACATTCAGAGTTGCAAATGCCCCTGAGTCTGAGGGGTTGCAGTGTGTATGCACCTGGGAGACAAGCACCAGGGCCGTCAGAGAGTGTGGACGCTGAGTCGTTCCCTCAGACCACGCCCACGGCTGAGGGGGGCTGGGATTCCTGACTGTGGTCAGAGTTTCCTCGCTTTTCTTTCATTTCATTGACTTTTTCTCTTGAAAAAGGCTTTTTGGGATTGATTCACACTTTTTTTTTTTTTTATATCTCCGTACCAAAGTATTCACATCATCACAGCTTGGGACTCAGAGCTCACTGATCATCCATCAAGTCTGTCATGGTAAACTAGCTCCTGGCACCTTAGCAATTCTTATCCACATTTTATTTTGTTTGTTTTTCTACATTTTATTCTTTTGATCATTTTGCTACTTTTAAAAGATATTTTTCAATGACATTTCTCAAATGCTGCAATTCAATTAATCTTTATGAATGACACAGGTGGAGGTAATAAGAAAAACTCTGCATCTCAGAAGGCACCACAGTAAACTGCCAAGAATAGTAATGGCAGAACAATCCACATTTTAAATATAAGTTTTTTTCCAAGATGAATTGATAAAAGTTTTCACTATCTCAAATGATTTCTTTTCTAATAGCAGAAATTCAACACTAATATATTGAGTCGAATTCTTTAAATTTTAGAGTACCTTTGTAAATACACATGGAGATTATTTCTTTTTTTTTTTTTTTTTTTTAGTGAGATTGGTCTCAGGGAGAAACAAACAAACTCTGAGAGAAAAAAATAAAATAAAATAAGTCATTCCCTCTCTCCCCGGAAGTGTGCCTTGTTTAGAACAATGAATGCTTGTTTGAGATGCATGAGACCAATGTACTTTAGATGACAGGGACAGTAGTGTGTGGAATACTGTCAGTGAAGATTGCCTCTGCCTCATTAGATATGAGGAATAGTTAAGCACAACAAGGAAGTGTGGATCCAGCAAATGCCAAAGACAACTGCCTTAATCAATCATTATTGCCACAGAGTCTCATATTCTCTCCATTGAACATGTAATTTTTCCCAGTACTCAACTGTGCATTTTCTGACACAAATGAGTGGATACATGGTATTGGCCAGAGACACTGCTATGTAGTCAGAGTGGAAAAATGTACTCAAACAAGTACATATATCTTAATAGAACTCAACCACAATCATGTAATACTAGTTCTCTTAATTATCTAGTTTTTACCTGTCCTGTTTCTGAACTGATGCTAGACTGGAGGCAGGGCACTGTGTCCGTCTTCAGGAGATGGACTCTTGGAACTCAGGTCCCTCTGGTAAACACCAACACAGTTGGACCAGCACCTCAGTGGTACTTGTGGGCCAGAGCATTTGCCACGGCAGCTGTCAGCTTCTGCCAAGCAGCCTGCATGTGTATAAGAACTTATAAGAACTATAAAAGTATAAGCCCCGTTTAAGTTTTAGAAAAAATGGTGACCAAGAAAAGCTGTGGTTTCTTTTATACCCAAGGTGAACAACTGAATGATATCTTGTAAACACCTGACACATTGCCCAACAGATTTCTAATTCTTACCCCTCTTAATTCTAGTCATGCCTCATGGTCAGCCTACAAGGTCACCTCAAGGATAATGGGGTGCGGAGCTTGAGATAGGAAATGCCTAGTAGACGGTGGGGAAAGGACAGCAGAACCCCCTGATAGAGCCACTGAATGCTATCAGAGACCCAGATGTCCATCCTGCTGACCCTCCCTTATCCAAACCCCACCCATGGTGGTGACAACCTACCCTTGACCAATAGTCTCATTTCATTGGGAGAAGCGAGGGCCTGGAAACTAGAAATGAGGAATAAAAGGCCACATAGAGAAATACCAACACAGACTCGCTTCTGGCACACTACTGGTCACCAGTAAGCTCCCAGACACCATGGTGCATTTTACTGCTGAGGAGAAGGTTGCTGTTGTTAGCCTGTGGGCCAGGGTGAATGTGGAGTTGGTTGGAGGCGAGGTCCTGGGAAGGTAGGCCCTGGAGGGGGGCAGAAAGGCAGAAAGTATTCCTGAAGGGGTATTGGTTGGTTTTCTTACCTACTTTGATTTCCCATCTCATCTGTGACTGTGATCATCCCATAGGCTCCTGGTTGTTTATCCATGGACCCAGAGGTTCTTTGACAGTTTTGGCAACTTGTCCTCTGAGTCTGCAATAATGGGCAACCCCAAGGTCAAGGCCCATGGCAAGAAGGTGCTGACCTCCTTTGGAAATGCTGTTAAACATATGGATGACCTCAAGGACACCTTTGCTGAGCTGAGTGAGCTGCACTGTGACAAGCTGCACGTGGATCCTGAGAACTTCAAGGTGAGTTCTGGGCATGCCTGTGCTTTGTCTTTCATCCTAGATATTTGCAGTGGTGGATATGTTAGAAAACACAGGTTGTTAAGTCTGATCCCATAAAAGGATTTTTTGGGACATTATATTTCAAGGAAGGGCTTGCTTTTGGTAGTTAGGTTGTTCCAAAGGTCATAGATAAGACCGAGTAGGGTAATTACTATGACCAGAGGAGGCCACTAGCTGTCTTACATTTCTGAAAAAATACATGTGTGAAGAACACTGGCCAAAACTGAGTTAAATGTTTTTGGCTGGGAGAATACAATTATAGCAAGAACATCTTACTTTTGGTAACTGAAATTTTCTCTAAAAATGATGAATACATTTCTACATTATTCTTGAGTTTAGAACCAGGACTAAGCAAGACAATATAAGAGCAATCTTCAATGGACAGTCTGACCCCCCACCCCCTTAGCAGTGATGAAATGCTCTTGTATACATGGCTCAAGATTCTTTGTCATGTGAGTGTACAGACAATTTGAATGAATGTATTATCTGGGGACTTAAACTATATATATTGAGTCCCCTTACAGTCCTATAATCCTACTTTTAAAAAAGACTGAGTCTCTAGAAAAGAGAAGCCATTCATGGCAATGTTTTGGGCTCAGAAGTTGCCAGGGCAAATGAGAGAAGGATAGAACACAATGGGAGGTACAGGGCTGGGAGTCATATTGATGCCAATGTCCAGCATATTATGGCACACTTTTGTGGGAGCATGGCCCTGAAAGTTGCTCAATCTCTTATCAGGAAGAAAATTGATGTGTCCAGCTTGAAACTTTCTGTTCACTAGACACTGTTTTCTTTTTATCCTACTCTTTCCCCAGCTTCTAGGCAACATGATATCGATTGTCTTGGCAACCCACTTCAGCAAGGAGTTTACCCCCCACATGCAGGCTGCTTGGCAGAAGCTGACAGCTGCCGTGGCAAATGCTCTGGCCCACAAGTACCACTGAGGTGCTGGTCCAACTGTGTTGGTGTTTACCAGAGGGACCTGAGTTCCAAGAGTCCATCTCCTGAAGACGGACACAGTGCCCTGCCTCCAGACCCAACTGTTATATGATAAAAATAAAATAAAAATTGTGCTCTGTAATGAATATCCTTGTCTTCTCTCTCTGTCTTTATCTTTTATGTTGATTCAGCTAAAAGAAAGCACTTCTTTAGGGAAGGGGGTTATTTGGGGAGGATAGAGAAGAGACTCATAAGATTCTGCAAGATAAGAGAGGCTTCAAGGGGCAGTTACTTCTAGGAAGGGAAAATAGACTCTGGAACTGAATAGTGTCTTCAGAACAAGGGAGCAGATGGAGGTACTCTTGGGAAATGCAAGAAGATTGATAGAGTGAGTAGGGGCACGGTAGAACTCCAAGGAGGGGACCTGTCTAGGCTGCTATTTTTATAATCTCAGAGCTTTTTGATGCTATATTTCACTTATATTAAATAATATAAAAAACATGTTTTTATCAGCTGTAATATAGTAGAGATGGAACTTCCAAGAGACCTAGGCAAGGACCATGCTTTAAACTTTCCCTAGTGTTTTCATTGGTATTAATGGAGGAACTATCCCTAAAGCATAAGAACTAACTGCCTTGGTTTGAATCTGTACCTTATCTGTTAGCTCTGTGACCTGTAACATATTTCCGATTTCATTAAGCCTTCTGTGGAGATAAAAGGTCATTTATGTGGGAAAATGACAAATTTAGGAATTAGCATGCTGGGTCTAAGTGACAGAGGAGAAATTGGCCCCTTAAAAACAGTGCAGTGGGGACGCCTGGGTGGCTCAGTCAGTTAAGCATCTGCATTTGGCTCAGGTCAGGATCGCAGGGTCCTGAGATACAGTCTTGCATCAGCTCCTTGCTCAGTGGGGAGCCTGCTTCTCCCTCTGCCTGCCCCTTCCCCTGCTTGTGCTCTCTCTCTCTCTCTGACAGATAAATAAATAAAACCTAAAAAAAAAAAAAAAAAGGCAGTGCAGTGATATAGAATTAGGGACACTACTGCCCGGAAAAGAAGCTATTATTATAAGCAAAGTACCAGTGAAATTTCTTGCACACAAAAGTAACATGGTGAATAGGGAATTTTAGGGAAATGGATCCATGTGTGGGTATAGAACTGACAAGGCAGGATCTAACTTGGATCTAGCCATAGGAATGTGCTGTGATTATAATGAAGGCAAAGGACTGAACTTCACAGAAGCGATGAAACTAAGAACAACTCAAGTAAGGGGCCATTGTGGCCAAGATCCCACAGGACTTGGAATGAAGTGCAGTAGAGAGTGGTGAAGTCACCAATGACAGCCGGGTTTCCTGTCTGGTGAATGAAAAGAGGAAAGTCTATTCTCAGGACAGAAAATGCCTAAAAGTCTCTTGTTTGGAGCTGGCAATTGAGCATGTCCACTTTTGTAGCCATTACTTCAAATTCTGTACCCAAGTCCCTGGCATTTCAGAAGTGAAAAGCCAGGGCTTTGGGATTAGCAGTAAAAGATTAAATCCAGCCCTATCACCTTGAAAAGTTTGGTTAACATTTTCCAGCATGAATTTCCTTGTTTGTAAAATGGAATAAACATTCCAACCTCGCAAGTAGGTTCCAAGGTTTTAAGGAGATCTCTGTAAAGTGCTTTGGCTGTCATTATTGAGAAAGTAGAGGTAGCAGTTTATACAATACACTCTGATCTGTTCCTCTGTGCCCTGTTCCATTGTGTTTTCTTGACCTGACTGTATTCTTTATGAGCTCCAGACCCGTATATCTAACTATTTGTTTGATGGTCCATATCTGATTGCTCATGAGTGCATCAAATACAATATGTCCAAAAAAAAAACCCTCCAACTGTTTCCTAATCTATTCCTGCTAATCTGTTCCCCATCTAGGGACTAATGCATCATCCATTGCTTGAGCCTGAAAATAGAGATGGCATTTTTACCACCACACCCCAACTATAATATCATCCTATTTGTCTTTCATTTATTTTACCCCTTAAACCCATTTATATATGGAAGCCAGATAATTTTTTTAAAAATACAAATCAAATCATGTCACCCACATCCTTGAAGTTTTCAAAAGTTTTTCTTGGCTTTCAGGTTAAAGACAGATATTCTGTAACATAGTTTTAAGATCATCCATGGCTCCTCTGCACCTTCCTATCATATAACACTTCCCCTTGTGATATTGTCCTATTTTTTGCATATAAATCATATACATTGAATCATTGTCTCTGGTTACTTTATTTATTTATTTTAGAGAGAGTGAGAGAGAGTGCCTGTGCATGCAGGTGGACCAGCTGCAGGAGAGGGGGTGGGGGGAGGGAGAGAGAGAATCCCAAGGAGGCTCCATGCTCAGCACAGAGCCCACCATGAGGCTAGATCTCACAACCATCATGAGCTGAGCCGAAACCGGGAGTTGGACACTTAACTGAATGAGCCACCCAGGAACACCTCTGGTTACTTTTAATTGACATTATGTTGTACAATTCATCTGTATTTCTGCAAGTGAAGCAGTAGTTGATTCTTTTCATTATTGTGTAATATTTCATTCTTTCTCTATATCATGATTTATCTATTCCACTGAATGAGGAACATTTAAGTGGCTAGCAGTTTAGGATCATCATGCATACTGATGTTACAGCCTTTGGACTCACATAAGCATGCATTTCTGGAAGAATAATTGCCAGCTCATAGGTTTTGCATATATTCTGCTGTAGTAGCTACTACCAAATATTTCCTAAAGCAGTTTTACCATTTTATACTGTCACCAGCAGAGCCTGAGAGTTTTGTTGATCTACATCCTTGCTAAATTTTGAAATTGCTTATCTCTCTCCTCCTCTTCTTTATATTCTTTGCCTTCTGACTTCCATCTCAGTCCATTCTCTTCCTTTCTGTTGGTTAATCTCTCTTACCCTCCCTCCCTCCCTCCTTCCCTCCTTCCATCTAGCTGTGCTAGAGGGTATGTATCTGTAGATCAATGTAATATTATTTTGAATTCAGAAAAGACTAAAATTCCCTTTGAATCTTCATTTCTAGATCTAACTCTACTTTTTTGCTGAGGACACAACTGGAAATTTCTGCACCTGCATTTTCCCAGAAACCCTGTCAGACTGGTTGAATAAGGTAAATCTTCATTGCAAATCCTCTGCATTCTTTCTTTAGTCATATCATAGTTTCAAATCATGTTATAGGTTTCTGATATTTTTTTCTTTATCTCTCATTGCTTCCATTAAATCCATGCTCCCAGATCTATGTTAGTAGCTGGTAAAGAAACAATATTCATTACTTTCATTCTTCCAATGGACATTTATTTCAGTGAAAGAATGGAAAGAAAGAGTTTTGTTACTAGAAGTATTTATCCAAAGAAGGAGAAAGAAAGCAAGTTAAAAGTATGTTAAGCATTTATTCATTCCAACCACTTACAAATATCTCTAGAGACAAAGAGAAGTACCACATAGAGTCAACTTGATAACATTTCTGTTCTCTAGGCCTTAGTTTTCTGATCTATGAAGTGAAAGTTTTCTGATCTATGAAAGAACTAGATGAGTTAAACTCTGAGAAACATTCCACAATATCAGACTACAGCATTTGCACATGAATGAGAGTGGTAGTATCTTTATGGAAGCCACTACTGAAGGGGATGAATTGAGGAGGGAGAAAGCACGGATTCTGAGTCAAGACACACAACACCTAGAACACCACCCTCAGGGCAACTGAAGGGAACTGAGGAATGGGGATGCAACCTACATTCGCACAAACAAATAAGCTTCTGCTGTGTCGTTGGGCCAATCTGCTCACAGCCCCAGGGAGGATAAGATCAGGGCTGGGCATAAAAGGAAGAGCAGGGCCAGCAGCTGCTTATACTTGCTTCTGACACAACCGTGTTCACTAGCGACCACAAACAGACA